ACTCTTTTTTTACTTTCTTCAGATGGTTTGTTCTTTTTATTAATTGTTCTTCTTGTAGATTATATCAATATATTTATCTTCAAGCTCCTTAGGTTGGCCTTTCATTGCTTCCCTTCCACTCTTTTGCTCTTTTAATGCATTGTCGAATTCTAACATGTTAGTTTAATTTTCAGACATTCTATTTGATGCTTTCGCATGGTATCTAATCCTTCACTTATTTTTTGTCAGATGACTCTTGTAGTGTTTTCCTGAGTTCTTCTATGCCTTTTTTCTGGTTTGTTTTCTTTTCTCCAAGTGGCTCTCTTGATCTTTTCTCCGTCTACTGAAAGTATCGGAGGCGCAATCTTCTCAGTTCCTTTTCTGGTAGTTCAAAGGCCTCTTCTTCTCAGATGAGTCCCTAAGCTCTGCACATCGGGCCCTCATTTGTGCTTTTCTTCTTGCTTCTGGTGTAAAATAAAAGGTCTATTGTCTATGAGACATAATTTTTGATATTTATTTCTATTTCTTGAGCATATGGTAATGAAGAGGGCGGTGGCCCTTGCACATTAATGGTAGCCGTTGAAGGCGTGTGTGTGTGTGGGTGGGGAGGGTTGGGTCATGTGGGGGACAGTTAATTCAGTCAAGTGGAGCAAGAAATGAACAATAAAACACGAACACACATGAAGAAGAAGACAGAGTGAGCAACTCCCTCTGCCGCCTACCACACCTACACACGAACCCCCAAGCCCCAAGCCAGCACCAACAGCTGCTTTCTCCTTTCCCTCCCAGTGCATGCGTATCAAGGGCCTACCCAGAGGGTGCACAGTAGGAGCGCAGCCTCAGGGGCCCCAAAGTGGGAGCTGGTGACCTGTGTTGTCCATAAGGGGTTGTAAGAGTTAGGGAAGGCTCCACTTCTCTTATCCGGTGTCTCTTCACTTGCGGTTTATCCCAGAATAGCGACAACCAACCAACCAACCAACCAACCAACCAAAGACACAGGAAAACCCCCAGACCAGAGCTGGTCATTACTTTTGCCAAGGCCTCCTCCCGAGGCTGACTTCTCTGGTTGCCAGGGGATATGAGCACCAGGGAGGATCCTGCCTCTGCATGGCATCGATCTTGCTAGAAGGGAGAAAATGCAAAAAACAAACAAAACCCGAAACAAACGGAACTCCAGTTGCCCAACAGCTGCAGCCGCAAGCCACTACTCAAGGTCAGCGGCTGTGCCTGGGTTCCGGAGCCCGGGGCTGAGTGGTCAGTCGAAGCCTCTGCTGCTGCCTGGCTGCAAACGTGTGACCCTGGGCTCCCTCCAGGGGAAACCTGGCATGTCTCTGTTCCCCCTTGTTAGCTTCCTGTGCGATGCGGCAGTTTATCATATCTGTACCTCTTTCAGAGTGCACACATCATCCCAGGGATGGTTGGTTGGAAGGAGGGGTGCAACCATTCCTCCTGAGTGGACTCGATGGGGTCCCCAGTATACTGCAGGTTTGGGGAGCAAGGGGGTGGCCACCTCGCTCTTTTCAGGGGCATGCCAGAGATTGTTCCACCACGTGGGTGGGCTTGTTTAGCTCATAGTTGACAGCTCAGAATTTGCTGTTTTTCTCGATCTCTTTGTAGGGGTTTCCCCTCTTCATGGTCTTTGTTGGTGTTTGGCTCATTCATCTCCCTTTCTTCAGAGGTTCAAGGCTCCTCTATGCGGCCGGATTTTCCCCTGTAGCTTTATTTTCCCACGTTTGATGAAGAGTGTTGGTACAGCATGTCTGTCTAGACCGTCATCTTTAACATCATTTTGAAAGGTCAGAAAGATTCTCTGGATCCTGATGGACTTCTTTGCCTAAGGTAGTGGCTCTCGAATTTCAGTGCATGTCAGAATCACTCTGGGCTTTTGTGATTTGCAAACCTTCGTTTTCTTCGGCTGTCTGAACAAAGCCCACAACCTGGATAGAAGAATCGACGTGTGCCTTCTGGCATGAGAAACGTGCGGATCAGAATAATAAGATCAGGCAATTCTGTCTAGGCCTGTCCTGGGTTAATACTGGGATTTAGTCTGATTATGTTTAATTTGTATTCATTCAAGTGAAACTTGTATAACATTTGGTGTATTCACAGGGCTCGGCCATCAGCATTCTAGCTAGTGCCAGAACACAGTCATCACCCCAAAAGGAAACAACGCCCAATAAGCAGTCATTTCTCCCGCTTCTGCTTGCCCCAGGTCCCGGCAGTGACCAGTCCGTGTTCTGCTTCCATGAATCCACCTGTCTGGATATTTCATAAAAATGGATTCATAAAATCCATGCTTCCCTTTTGTGTCTGGCTTCTTCCTTCAGCATAATGTTTTCTAACTTCCTTGCAGTGCCTTAAACACGGGGCTGCTTGATTTGAGCCCACCAGCAACCCCAAACGTGTGGCTGTCGACTCCCATGACGATAGAGAGTCTCAGAGACCACAGGGAGCCTACTCTGAGCTATAGGCTTGTGATGAGCTCGAATCAACTCAATGGCAGCGATCGTTCCTTTTCAAAGAGCCCGGGAGGCTGAGTGGTCCCGTGTCCATCCCTTCCTGGGGCACGCTGGGTCAGAATGCTGCCATCCCCACCGGGTGGGGCAGACCCGGGAGATAAGGAGGAGGGCGCCAGAGAAGGGTGCGTTCCCACGGTCCCTTGGTAGAGTCATGGACTTCAGCTATCAGGTGCCAGCAGTTTTCTGCCGAAAGAGTAAAGGATTTTTATTTTTTAAATGACGATATCTGGTGGTGGTGAGGACATGGAGAAAGAAGTCTTTCCCTTCTGGTGAGACTATTAAAGGCTACAATTTGGGGGGAAAGACATTGGAGGATCATTGAAAAGGATACCTGTTGTCAAACGGCTTGACAACAAAAGGTCTTTTAAAATTGTATGTACTTAAAAATATATAATTATATAAACCATGACACGTAACAGGATGCGCTGTGAACTTCAAAGCCCCCTGAGGAGATAATGGTGTGCAGACAAAGAACTCCAGCATCAGATCTGAGAGCGGGGACTACCGGGGTGGGGTGGGGTTCTAGTTCCCTATTTATAATGGCCTGCATTTTCCAACTTTCCCAGAATGAGCACCTGCTATGAGTGTAATTGCAAAATGTGCTTTTTTAATGGAGATCCAAGAAAGAGTTTTAGAAGTTCATTATGAAGAGAATTGATCAGGGCTCCCAATCCACAACACCCCCATCCAGGTGGCTAACAGACAAGCTCCTTGCTCCAGGGAAAGTAAACGTGTCGGGCCCTACCAGAGGCACCCATGAACATGCCAGTGCAGCTTCACTTCAAGCTTGCAAAAGAAAACAAGAGTCCACCCTAGGGGTCACTGTCAGGAAGTTGTGCCTTTGGCACCAGGGAGGACTTTGCACAAGGCTGCCATGCTTGAGTTTGGCGGCAGCAATGAGTATTAAGGACAATGCACTAGATTTACTGTTTATCGTGTGTGGAAACAGCCCGCCCTCAAGGCCAGCTCCTCCCTCTGTGGCAGAGCCAGCCCTCCTTCAGCAGCGCACAGAGCATCCTCTGCTCAGCTCTCTGCCACTCTGCACTGACCATGGCCACCTTCGTGGAGCTCCTCACCAAGGCCAAGATGCCCATCGTGGGCCTGGGCACCTGGAAGGTACTTGTGCACGCGTGTGGACACCTGCCTCCCTCCTGGGCTCTTGTCCTTTTTCTCCTCTCTGCTGCTTCCTGGAAGCCCTGCTGTGGGGAGGGGAGGAGATGGTAGAGAAGAGGGTCTTGTCCTAGAAACAGGACCGGAGCAGATGTCCCCTCTCTCCAGCAGATCCAGGCTCCAAGCTTCCAGGGCTGCCTTTCTCAGCAAGACCCGAGCTTCTCTACCAGAGCCCAGTTTGAAGTAGCCTTTGGGCTGAGTAGCAGTTGCCTACTTGGACCATTCTTCTAGCTCAGTGGTTCTCAACCTGTGGGCCGAGACCCCGTTGGGAGTCGAACAACCCTTTCACAGGGCTTGCCTGATTCATAACAGTAGCAAAAGTACAGTGATGATGTAGCAACGAAAATAGTTTTATGGTTGGGGGGTCACCACCATATGAGGAACTATATTAGGGGTCGCGGCATTAGGAAGGTTGAGAACCACTGTTCTAGCTGTTTCCCGACTCTGGGGGCTTTTAAAGGTGTCCTGCGATGTACTAGTTCTCTAGTGAGTCTGCTGCCTGGTGGAGGGTGGAGGGAAGGGGACTGGGGTGCTCAGTGCTGTGGCTGTCAGGAAGCCCAGGCATCTTGCACTGGAATCTGTCCTTGAACCAGACTCCTGGGGGGAAGGTACCCTTGGACTTCAAGTCCCAGAAGCATTGCCTCCCCAGAAAGCGGTCTGGTTGCTGGGTGCAGCATCTGTGAGGTTCTGTTGGCTGGATCTCTATGGGCCGGACCGAGCGTGTGTCTACGGCACAGCCCAGAGCTCAGTGGCCAGTCCATGGACCTCTCAAGATAAGTTAGCTTTCTATACTTGTCCTTTTTAAAAAAACAAACAAACAAAAACATTATTAGTAATGGGGAGTTAATTCACATATCATTCCATAGTTCAGTCACGTCAATCAGAATTGTACAACTGATTGTCTTTTAACAGACTTTATTCACATCTCCGTAAAGGATAGTGGCACCCTCATGAGTTACCAGGCAGAATCTGGATTCCTCCTTCCCCAGAGTCTCCGTCCTGCGCACTGTTCTTCCCAGCTCCTCCACCAGGGAGGGGCTCTCCACCAGCGGGTGTTCTCAGACAGCGCACTGAGTCCAGCTGGTGGGGTAGGGGGCCTTCAGCTGATTCAGCCTCTCAGTGGGATGGGCAACTTCATCCCGATCAGAGCTGCAGCCTCCCCACAGACGCGGTCTCCAGGCTCACTGCTGCAGCTGCGCTTTCTGTTTTGCCGAACTTCTTGGCACGTGGGTTCTTTCACAACTGAAGTGATTTTGAGAAGTTTAGTGGACGCTCCATGCAGAGTTCTTTCCGTCGTGGTCTCTATCTATTTTGAGTTCGTCAGGTTAGAACAGCTCATGCCGTGATCCTTTCCTACAGTTCCTCATGTGGTGACCCCCGCAACCGTAAAATTATTTCCCATTGCAAATTCATCACTGTCATTTTGCTACTGTTATGAATTGGGCGACCCCTGTGAAAGGGTCGTTCGATCCCCAAAGGGGTCGCGACCCACAGGTTGAGAACCACTGGGTCAGACTAACATGTGCTATTTCTAATTGATGTTTTCTTTTTTGACCTCAAGATAGGAAAAGAACCTTGAGTCTCCCCAAGGTTCCCTTTGTCACACTTTTCTGAAACAGTCTTACTTCTCTGATAGCTTTCCTGAGTCCCGGATCCTGTGCTGAACGTTCCATTGACCAGGGCCGTTAACTATCCCAACCACACACTGATACAGCCAGACTGACCTACCTAAGGCCAAGCCCTTAGCAGGCTGTGTAGCGTGGCTCTCTCTGCCCTGGCATGTTACACAGCCTTATCCTGTTTGGAGAGCTTCCCTGCCAGTTCTTCTAAATCATTTCAGAGCGATGTTTCAGCCAGGTCTTTACCAAGGGTCATGGTCACTCCGTCACTAGAAAAGGGGGCAAGGAGCTATAGCTCACCCCATCTTGACAATGGGTCACCAAGATCCATGATCACTACCATGTTCAGAAGAGAAAGCACTAAAAACCCTGATCACCCCCCATCTCTGGAAGGGGGGATACGAGGAGCAGTGGGTCAACCCCACACACCAGAGGGTCTCTCAGGGCAGAACGTGGCTTCCCAGGGACCCTCGGATAGGATGAGAAAGGACTCTTAATCACAGCATCAACTCCTCTTCCTGCCTTCTCTGGAAACACACTCCCAAAGGTGCTCTCCGCCTTAATGTCCCCTGGGTTTGGGGGCTCCAGTGAGACTGGTTGGAGAGGTAGGTGGTGGAGGGGAGCTGGGAGGCCATCTTTGGATGAGAGCACCAGACTGTCTTCTCCTTTTCCCTAGTCTTCCCAGGGCCAAGTCGAGGAGGCCGTGAAGACAGCCATCGACATAGGGTACAGACACATCGACTGTGCTTTCTTCTACGGGAACGAGAGCGAGGTGGGCGCGGCCATCCAGGAGAAGCTCAAGGAGAAGGTGGTGAAGCGCGAGGACCTCTTCATCGTCAGCAAGGTACCCAGGGCCCTGGGGTGGCAGGAGGATGAACTTCAGAGCCGCCAGAGGTATTGGGTTTGGTCAACACCAAGCATTCGCCGACCTTCCCTGAAAGCACGGAGTTGTTTCTGGCCTTCTCTGCCTGGTACCCACCTCGCCACATTCCCTGCCAGGAATGGCGTGGGGCCCACATCACCATACTCCCCCCACCAGGACTGGAGTGGAGTCCAAAGGGTCACCCTCCCTCCACCAGGACTCGAGTGGGTAGACATTGCTGGACTCCTCCGGAGTTGGGCTTCCACTGAGCCACCATGATGCCCATTAACCCCTGCCCACCATACGGTTCATGTGCCCTGTGTTGATGAAGAGCTGAGAGAATGGGATGGGACCAGAAGCTGTCTTGAAGGACCTTGATCTCTAAGATTCAACCCTGAGGGTTTCCACAGGGAGCATTTAGAAAACGATGGGAGCCTTTTGTTTTAATTGCCACACGGACATTTCCTTCTTCCAGCATAGGAAAAGACTAGCTACAAATGCTGTAAAAAGAGGGGCGGTGTTATCTGTAGGGTTGAGGATCCCGGGACCACTGTTAGACCACCGGCTGTTGTTATCAGGCCCTGTCAGTTAGGTTCCATCTCATGGCAACCGTATGATGGACAGAATTAACTTTCTGGTCTCCACCAACCTCGCAGGAGTGGCTGTCCTTGAGTCCATTATTGCAGCCGCCGGGCTCATCCATGGTGCTGAGGCCCTTTCTCCTTTTGACTGACCTTCCGCTTTACCAAGCAAGGATGCGCTTTTCTAGAAGATGGAGAAGTGTTGTCGTGAATTGCTAAAACGGAAGCTCCTGACAATGGCTAAAGCGTGCTGTGGGGGCTGCACCCATTGTGTTGAGTTTGGGGGGCCTCTGTGGAAAGCCACAATGGGATTCTGGAAGGCCGGATACATGGGGCCCCAGAAAGAGGCCCTTAAGCCACGAGGCAGGGGAGAGCTGGGAATCCTAGTTGCACATAATTCCTGCTCTCGGTCCTCCACAGCCAAGGGGGGCGGGAACAATTGTGGCACCCAAAGGTGTCCCCTGGCACGAGAGACACATATCACACTGCGCCAGCTGAACAGCTGCGAAGCTGCCCTCAGCATGTAGGGACGGCCCTTGACTAGCTGAGCCCTGGTGGCTAAGTTCCCCCGGATTATGTCTCGGAATCATTTTTGTTATAAAGAGTCTGTCCCCAGGTTAGAGCCAAGAACAGGGCCATGTGGGTGATGGAGCCTTCTTCCTTAACACTGACCCGGTTGTCCCTCTCTGCAGCTGTGGCCCACCTTCTTCGAGAAGCCCCTGGTGAAGGAAGCCTGCCGGAAGACCCTTAACAATCTGAAACTGGACTACCTGGACATCTACCTAATACACTGGCCTCAGGGACTGCAGGTGGGTGCTATTCCCCGTCCCATCTCTTATGAGCCATCTGTGGGCTGCCGAGGTGGGAGCTCTTTGCCTTCACACCTGTGGACTTCGGTGGGCCAGGCAACCATGAGGGAGCAGAAGGACCCGCTGACAGGGAGGCTGAAGCCATGGTTGCAGAGTTGACCACGTGCTGTGTCTGTCTCCCTTCCTTGTGAGAAGTCATGGGTTCTGGATGACCACAGCGACAGTGTCTGCAATGTTGTCTTGGTCTCGGGCCCATGGCAAAGCCTCCTCTCCCAGGAGAATGCTTACGCAGAGACTGTTGCAACACAGCATCACAGAGCCCAGCTCTCCTGTAATCCAAACACACGCTGGGTGCGGCATTTTGTAGACACGCTCAGGCTTGCACTTGAGGATGGCTAAACGTCTCTGGAGACCCAGCAAGCCTTTCCTGCACTCCTCTTGTGTTCCTGTAGAGCTGACCATGACACGATGCCCAACTTACAGCTTTCCTCGGGCCCTGCAAGGGTACCAACAGGGTATCATCCATCTCCAGGCCACCTGGACCTGTGGGAGAAAAAGTGCGTTATTATCTTCTCCATGAAATTCACTCCTGAGGTTGAATCCTCACTTGCTGCTCTGGAAATGAAAGTTTATCCCTAAGGGTGTCGGGATTCTGGGTGTATGTGGTTAATGCCTTGTTGACAATAGTTGCCTATGGAATTTTGTCAAGGATCTTAAACATATGAATTAATGATACATTTAAAAAAAAAGAGAACTTGTAAAATAGGGGGATTTATATGTAACACTGGTTTTCAATGTAATGACTTGTCCTCTGCCTTGAATCTCACATTCCAGAAATTAGAACATGCAACCTGCAAAGGGGCACTTACGTGTGGCTGTTTAGCTGATGGGGTGGCCCAGGGTCTTGGAACCTTAGGGCACAACCCAGGGGTCCAGGGACAGGCTCCTGTGAAAGTGTTTTTCTTTTGTATTTACAGCCCGGGAAGGAATTTTTCCCTAAAGATGATAAAGGCAATATCCTCCTCAGTAAAACAACATTCTTGGATGCCTGGCAGGTAGGTTCTATCGTGCGCTAAACAAAAACTTTCCTTCCTTATTCCATCTTGCTCCTTGCTGATGTGAAAGAACCTACGTGCCTCATGCTGTTTCATTCCCACATCTCATTCTGAAGTTCTGCCAGGCCCCTCCCGATCGCCTGTAGTGTTTGTGTTGTGTTAGTTCCACCTTTCTTCTTCTCTTTATTGTTTTTCCCTGACAGTTTATATTTTCTAAGTCCAAGACAGAATCCTCAAGTTGGAAGGGAAATTTATTCTCTCCCCATTAGGTAGGGGCTACATGCATCCTGTTCTCCAACCAGGGGAGAGGGATTGGAGCAGGAGATTTGCTCTCGGTTTGCACGCATCAGCTGAGTTACCTGTGGGAAGCGAACTCCTCTAAGCCTCCTTTCCTCAGATGATTTTGTTAAGAGGCAGTCTGAGTTATAATACCTATCATCCAGGATGTGGTAAAGATTGATCTGATGAATATTGGACTGAGCACAGGAACTTGAGTCAAAGGCTCCCTTAACCAGCCAACCCCCTATGAGCTGGGTGCTGTTTGGACTCTCCATTGACAAAGGAGGACACCGAGGGCTAGAGGAGAGCTGGCTTGTCCGGTCGACAGCAGGTAGGCTTGAAATTGGTCCCAGGCTGATCTCATTGTAAAGTTCACGCCCCAAGCCCAGGTTGAAGACTATCTGTTAGATCTCTGGGTTGTATGTAAAAAGAAAAACTATTGGCCATCACAGAGTTATCTTTGGTGTGACCCTGGGGCTTGCGTGGCAAGGATATGCCATGTGTAGTTAGTTTCTGCCCAACAATACCAGCAATCGTGTTAACAATCATAGTAATGATTGATCCTAAAACCCCACAGGTGGTGCAATCAAAAGCCGAACTAAATTGTCAATCACGGATAGCAGCACACCTTCTGTGTGAGCAACAGACTGTGTCGTTGTTCTAAGGTGCCGTCAAGTCCATTTCCAACTCACAGCGACCCTATGCACAACAGACTGAAACACCGCCGGTCCAGCGCCCCCCTCACAATTGTTGCTGTTTGATCCCCTTGTCGGTCCATCTCATAGTCTTCCTCTGTTCTGCTACCCTTCTACTTTACCAAGCAAGATTTCATTTTCTGGGACTGATTGCCACCAATCTGTCATCTACATCTTATCTACATCCCTCACATAATTTGATAGAAAGTTAGGGTGAAATGTGACAGGTTTCCTTGCTGGGCAAGATGAGAGCGGGTTGAGTCCCACCACCAGAGCCTTTGCTGGGAATCCATCCGGATCACAGCAGCCCCCTGAGACAGAGAAGAACTTTCCCGCAGGGCATCCAGGGCTGTCATCTGTACAGAAGCAGACTGCTCATCTTTCTCTTGCCGAGGGATTTGAACGGCTCACCTTTAGGTTAACAGCTAAGTGCTTAACCAGAGCCCCTATTAGTACTAGACAGTGGGCTCCAAGGACACGTTGAAACCATAAGTTTTCTGTTTTCTTTTAGATGTATATATTCCTTTTCCCTTGATGACCCCACAAGTTCCGGTTCAGTGATAGAGTCTTATGTACCTATTTGATAAATTCTAAAACAAATGGAGGAAGCCTGAAGCTTCAAGCACAGTTAGCACTCTTCCTGTGTTAACAACATGATGGTAGAGCTGACAGGAAAACTGGAGTTTCTTTAAAAAAAATGGTACTTAACTGTAGAAAAAAACCACCATATGGGCACCCCTCCTTTGACTGAGTTCTGCTGAATAGCAGATATTGCACTCTTGGCCGACTGAAGTTTTGTGGCAACCCAGCATCCGTTCAGTGGACGTCTCAGTGGGTGTCTCAGTGTCACACCTGGATCGTTCTCAACATTTTCGGATTCTTTCCATCACGCTATAGTACCTTTCATAGAGATAAAGTGATGGCAGCCTCGCTTTTATACGGGCTGGGAAACAACACATTTGTGTGAATTGTTATCTGGTAATATTAGCCTTACTGTAGAGATCTAGAACTGAACCTGAAAACTTCTGAGATGTGCCCGTATTTATTTTCTTGTCATGATGAAGAAAAATATCAGGGTTAATGGTTCAGGTGTATGGATTCACCCCAATGAACACTTTCTTCATGAGAGAGAAGACTGTGGTGTTAAGCAGGCTCCATGCACGTTTTAAATTTGAAAAGGGGCTTCTGTCGTTTTTCACCACCCTGGTAAAACATGATACCTTGAATATCTCAGAATTACTCTTTCTGAGATACAGAGAACAGCCTGTCTCTGTTGTTTACCCCACACCATGTTTTCACGATGGCTTTAGGATGGCATTAAAGGTGGCACTTACATCACTAATGTCTGTTCAAATCATTCTGATTTTCAAGGATGAGTTTAGCAATGACCTCTAAAGAAAGCACCCTAAAGGCATGAAAAGTGATTGATGGTGAAGAAGACAAGGTCTGAGATGGGATGCTAGGATTGAAGCTAAGCAGTGTATGTTCAGTTAGACCTACCACCAGATCGACAAACCTGTGGATTGCTCCTAAGTAAAAAAAAAAAAAAAAGGAAAAAAGCATAAACCGAAACAAAACAAAATGCCAGAAGGAGTCTACAGGTACCACACACCCAACTGAACCTGGCCTACAGCACACAAAGCCTTGTGGTCCATCTTTCAATTTCTGGAGTCTTAGGATCACATCAAGTTTTCTGTGTGTGAAAACTTTTGTCAACCACCTTTTCAATGTGTAGCTTTGACTGTGTGCTGAAATCCCCTGGGAGGTTTCAAAAGTCCCAATACCTGGGCCCCTCCTAGACCCGTTCAGAACAAAACTTGGGCTGGAACCCAGGCACAGGTATTTTTCAAACTTCCTAGTCGTTAAAAAATTGTAGTCAAGTTTGAGACCCACACATGATAGGACCCCCGAACCCCTCTTACATGTCCCTGCTCAGCGTCTTGGGTTCTACCCTTCTCTTATCTCCTCAATATTATTTTCCCCAACCTATTTCTTAGTCTCACTGCCATGCCTCCCTAACAGGACATGGAGGAGCTGGTGGACGAGGGGCTGGTGAAAGCCATTGGCGTCTCCAACTTCAACCACTTCCAGATTGAGAGGCTCTTGAACAAGCCCGGACTGAAACACAAGCCAGTGACGAACCAGGTAAATGGGGCTTCAGGAACCTTTGGAGGCAAGGTCAGGGTGATGGCCTGAGTCTCCTCTCAGGGTCTTGTGGTGAGTTTACTTTAGGGAGATGAGAATTGGACCACTGTATCCAGCACCCACACCCTCAGTGAGTAGTGTTTGGTCTTTGTGTGTGTGGAGAACTCCCCATGAGCTGCTGCAAACCCCGGCCTACTTTCTAGTGATGGAAACTGTTTGTTTTGGCAGATCGAGTGTCACCCATACCTCACGCAGGAGAAGCTGATCCAGTACTGCCAGTCCAAGGGCATTGTAGTCACCGCCTACAGCCCCCTGGGCTCTCCAGACAGACCTTGGTGAGGCTCTTCGGGGCTCTTGCTCTGGGTGCTCTTTGAAAAAGACTGGCAATTGCTTCGTGTTGGTGTGAGTCTATAAGCCATTGGATATTAGTATATGTCTAATGCAATGAGTTTGGCACACCTTAATAAGATCATGGTGCGTAAAGTTGGGGTGTTTTTCAATCGCCTGCCCTTGTGCCGTTAGCCAGGTTCAGCCACTCAAAGCTGGATCAAGGTGAGGTTCAGAGATCACGGTGGGCCTAAGGGTCATGCAAAACCTGCAGATTCTTTTGTCCATCTCTCAGACGGAGGAGCCATAAAGAACAGCATTGTGGCCACCATGGGAGGGGTGTCCATCCACACATAGTAATCATGGTGATTCTTGGAGGAGACTGGGAGGGACAGTCTTGGAGACTGCTCATCTCCACGTAACATGATACCTAATCCTGGCGATTATTTCCACCTGCCACTCATCTTTCTCTCTTGATGAGATGGCTTGACCTAGTGGCCGCATCAATGGGCGCAGGCATGGGAACAGTCGTGAGGATGGCCAGGACCGGGCAGTGTTTCGTTCTGTTGTGCACGGGGTCGCTATGGGTGGGAGCCGACTCCATGGACAACAACAGCATTCTCTTATTTTACTTTAGGGCCACACCAGAGGACCCTTCACTGCTGGACGACCCAAAGATTAAGCAGATTGCTGCAAAGCACAGGAAAACCCCTGCCCAGGTACCTGGCTGTTACACTCTTTCTTCCAACCCCTGCAATCCAGGGCTTCGGGGTTCCTACCTGGTGTTGCCTTTGCGTTATTTCTTAAAAGAGTAGAGTAGGGCAGGGAATCCTCGTCAAATCCTTCCTGGAAGTCCTATTGTCCCCCAGAAAGCACTGTTATGACTGAGAAAGGAACTGTGTCTGCGGAGTAGCGTTCCCTGAGTGTCATCATCCCCGGAAGAAAGGTTTGCTGACAGAGACCTGGGTTGAGAGCTACCATGACCACGTGCCCCCTTGGGACCCAACACTGCATCCACATTGTCCTATTTTCTAATTTTAAAAAAAGGGAAAGACGGCCTGTTAGGTTTGCTGTGAGAATTCAGGGGGACTGACCAGCAGAGGTTGTCTGAGTCTGACGGGGACACTCTCAATCCATAGTCACCATGCTAAACAAAGACACAGGAGGCTGCAGGGTGGCAGGCTGCGCCCTTTAGAGGAGGGAGGATCCTGGGAGAGTGGAATTTGATGCTTTTCTCCCACAGATTCTGATCCGGTTCCATATTCAGAGGAATGTAGTTGTGATCCCCAAGTCAGTGAACCCAAAACGCATTGCAGAGAACTTCCAGGTAAGAGCCTACAGGAGAACTCGGGATATTCTCAGTGCAGGGGAAAAGGTGAGACTTCTGTCACCAGGCTTCTCATCCTGTCCCTGCATGCATTGTTGGGGGACTCCACTCCCTGCTTACCTGCCTGCCACTTCCGATGCCTAGAGATGGGCTTCAGTAAGAGCTGAGACAGGTGACCCGTGCGCCAGTGATGGGCTCCAGTCTGCTGTCCCAACTGGCAGGTGTGAGCATAGCTGAGCGTCACCTCCCCAAGAAGCCACTTAGTCACCCCTGAGTGTGACCAGATCACGACTACAAGTGGAGTAAACTCTCTTGGCCTCACACTTGACCCCCACAGCAGAGGGTCTCTGGACTATGCCGGAAGACCCGTTTCCTGGGGGCACTCGTGTGCTTATCAGGGACACCTCTATGGTGGGAGGCCTCAAGCTCATAACGATTACAGTCTTCACATAAGACCTGCCATCTTTTCTATATCTTCTATCGATGGATGCTTTTCTGTATCTGCTGATGGTGGCCACCTGATTTTCTTTGTGGGCCTGTTTCTGTGATGAATTAGACGTGACGATTGTGAACGCTGAGCCAGCCACGCATACCTGAGCTAAGTCTCACTGGGCCCTGGTGTATGATTCTTTTTATACATTGTTGGATTTGATTTGCCAGTACTTCCGGGATCTAGTTTAAAGCAAAAGGAGACCTGATGATACTGTGGGCTAAGCATTGGGCTGCTAGCTACAAAGTTCAGCTGTTCCAAACCAGCAGTGGCTCTGAGGGAGAAAGATGGGAGGGACTGTTTGCTTCCATAAAGATTTACAGTCTTGGAAATCCTCTGCAGGGTGGCTATGATTTGGAATTGGCTTGAGGGCTCTGGGGAGTTTACAGCAAAATGTATGCCCTGCGGACATAATGGGGACAGTTAGTGGTGTGATTGTGAGCTCTATTCCTCCTGGAATGCGACCACAGAGATGGGCTTGAACCCCCCTTTGCCAGGTCTTCGGCTTCCAGTTGAGCAAGGAGGAGATGGAGACCATACTCAGCTTCAACCGGAACTGGAGAGTCTGCGCCATACAGGAGTAAGTGGACCGGCCACTCTAACTAGGCTGAGCCCCAGGACTTACTCAAAGCTGGTAGAGGGTGAGCCGGAAGATTCGGAAGACAGCGGGACTATTTTTGTCTCTAAATGCTATTTTATGGCGTTTTGGAAAATTAAGATTGGAGTACTAGGATGAAAAGACCGTGAGAAGAGGTAGATTCCTTAATGCTGTTCTTTGCCTGAACTCCCGTGATTCAGCCATGTAAGACTTGGAAGGCACTTGGCGCATGGCTTAGCTCCAGGCTTATGAGCCTTTAACCCAGCTGCCATGACATTGATCCTGACTCATGGAGACCCCGTGTATGTCAGAGTAGAGCCGTGCTGCATAGAGTTTTCAATGGCTATGACCTTTCAGAAGGAGCCCTAGTGGTGTAATGGTTACACATTGGGCTGCTAGTAGCAAGGTCAGCAGTTCAAAACCACTGGCTGCTCCAAGTGAGAACGATGGGGGTTTCTACTCCTGTAAAGAGTCACGTGCTCAGACACTTACTGAGGTAGTTCTACCCTGTCCCAGGAGACTCAATGGCAGTGAGTTAGGTTAAGGGACCTTTTAGCAGTAGATCCCCAGGACATTCTTTCAAGCTGCCTCTGAGTGTATTTGAACTGCCAACCTCAGGTTACTCTATGGCACCCTAGTCACTGCTTGTCTGCCTTTCTTCCCAACACACATTGAGACTCATTTGAGGCAAGGTGAAGGTGTGGGCCCCTGTCTTGAGGTTCTCTCAGAATCTTGGTGGGGAGGCTGAGAACGTCTGGCGATGACAGGATGGCCCAGAGGAGAATGGCCCTGCGGCCGTGCTGGTGACAGTGACCCATGTCCTTCTTCACATTCTCTCTCTTTTGTTCTTCCTACAGATTGGCCCATTTGGACGATTATCCTTTCACCGCAGACTATTAATGGTGGGCCTTCCTGATTCGATTCTCTTGCTTCGGCTTCCTGAATTGTCACTCTCTGCACCAGGCCCTGCATGAGCCAGGCTTACCTGACATGACAGGGAGCTCTACCTGCTGTCTGCCAGGGTCTGGGCCACATCCCCTAGCACATGGCATGTCCACCAAGGAGCAGATAATCTCAAGGAAGCAAGACTCAGATAGGCAAATGATGATCTTTTTATTCATTTATTAGATAAAGAATTCATTACACATCGGAAGTTCTGCTCACACTGATAATACAAAGACACAAAGAATAAAGACTGAAAGTCCTATCTCATATGTAGTGAGAGTTTTCTATGAAGCAATCCTGCGTGAGATGTTTTTCGCTTTAGATCGTCCATTGAATCCTGCAGCAGCCCCCTTGAGGTGGGGGATTTTCTCGTTCCCACTTTACAGAGGGTAAATGAAGGCATAGGGAGGTCAACACTTTTCTCAAGACGTTCACCCAGGATGGGTGACAGAGCCCAGAGTCAACCCTTGTGATTCTTGTGGTCTTCCTTGCCCTTCCTAGTCTGGAAGCTTCCACTGGCAGATGGTGGTAGCTGTGCACAGGCGGCATTGGCCAGGAGTTGAACCTAGAGCTTCTACATAGTCATCCTCTATCCTAAGGTGGAAGGGTTGGCAGAGTACCAAGGTGGCCTGTTCCACCCTGTGAGCATAGGTGGAGCCTGGGTAGGTTATGAGCTAGCAGTCCCATGATTATGCTACATGACATGACAAGTTGCATAAGTCGTAAATAGAATTCCGCTTCCAAATCAGTTGACCTTAAGATGGGGAGATTCTTGGGGTTGGCCTGACCTAATCGCAGGTCTCTTTCAATCCTGTAGGTAGAGATGAGGAAGTCAGATATCCAAAGCACAAGAAAGATTGTCCTCTCCATTGTTAGCTTGGAGATAAAGTGGGACACATGGCATGATCTAAAAATAGTAAATAATAAAATCCAAACCCAGAGCAGGGAATGGTGTTAGAGTT